TTTTAACTTTTAATTATAAGTCAAATCAGGAAATTAAGTCCAAAGCTAACTTGAATTGGGATTTGGAGCAAATTAAGTGTCTTGGAGTAAGTATCCCTAAAGATCTCTCAAAAATATATCATGCAAATTTGAAACCTTTGTGCTATAAAATAAATGAGGATATTAAAAGATGGAACTTAACAATTTCAGGAGTGGGACAAAATAATTTCCAGGTTCATATGACAGGGGAAAAGATCATGAATCAAGTACCAAACTAGCTGGCTATAAAGATAAAGGGGGGTTGGGGTTCCCATGTTTGAAAGATTACTATGTTTCAGCTCAACTGAGGACCCTAGTGTGTTGCAATGTAGACTACCAAGCAAGATGGAAAGAAATAGAAATAGTTGCCTCAAGAGATTTTCCAATTCAGGCAAACTTAGGGGATGTGATACTTATTAAAAAACAAATTAATCAAGGAAACCAATGGATTAACTTGCCTTTAAAGCTTTGGTTACAATTTCTTAACAAGAATGATTGGAATGAAGAGACCAGGATCTTAAGATGGTGCTCTTATGATCTTGATTTTTTACCCAACAAGATAGATGCGAGATATAAAAACTGGGTAGGACAAGGCTTAACGGCATACTGTATGTTTTATGATAAGGGAACTCTTAGGGACTTCCAATCAGTAAAAGATCAATACCAGTTAAGCAATACGGATTTTTATACTCAGTAAATGTGGATAAAGTGACCAAGCTGTTATATGGCATTTTGAGTCTGGCTGCCCGAAAGACTATCACTCAGAAATGGCTAAGTGTGAAAATTCCATCGCTAAATGACTGGCACGAGACGGTCTATGGGTTGTTTAAAATGTAAAAAATTACCTTCTCTCACAGATTTCAGTATGACACATTTGTTGAGATTTGGGACAAATGGAAACATTACATTTTGTCAAGGCGACCCGAATTTGTTTGAACCTCTGTAATCCTGTATGTCATATTTTTGAACTGCTATATAGCTAGATATGTATGTGTGTGTGTGTGTTAACTAGATGGTACACCTGTTTGTTTACTTGTGTTTTTATAGGTTGTGTCTTACTTTATGTTCCTTATCAAAAAAAAAGTATATTTTTGTTTGTGGTAAATTCTAAATTAAAAAAAAGATTTTTTTTTTTAAATGATTTAAAGGCAGCACAGATATGGGCAGGTTTTTATTAGGATCTATTTTGAACTGAAGCATATAGGATCCTGCGAACAACACTTACTATCAATAAATCAACAAGACTAAGGGGGCAATATTCAGTATTTTCAGAACAGTAACTACCATTAGCATAGTTTATCAATGTATATGGAAGCCAGACAACCGAGACTAAACAAACTAAGCACAAAACAAAGGAATTTGTGTTTGGTCAAAAGTGTTCAATAAGGTTGAGGTCAGGACTGCAGGCGGGCACTCCAAAATTCTGGAGTCTCTGATAAACCCCAATCTGTGGGGGTAAGCATTGTCATCCTGGAGGACAAAGTTTGTTTACAGACTGTGGAGATATGGGACTGACACTGATTGTAGAATCTCATCTCGCGGCATTGAGATCATCTCCAGTGATGATAAGCCTTGTTTTTTTTTAGTGAGGGAGATGCTGCTCCACATCATCACGCTGCCTAACGAAAAGCTGTTACCCTATCAGTGCAGCAATCAGCATAGCGTTCTCCGGATCTTCTCCATACTACCTGATTATCCAACCGCTGTAAACAAAATTAGGACTCATCACTGAACATAACATTCCTCCACAAGCTCAAGTTTCACAAGGTCCACCACAAATGGACCTAACAGTGAAGGACAGTCATGGCAGGTCCCCTGGCAGGCCTATGAGCCTGGAGATTGACTGTGTGCAGTCTGTTCCAGATCGTCTGGTCCGTCTGTCTCTGACATCTCCTGTTAAATGGAACGTGGCCTTCAGTCTCAAGATGGTACCAAGGCTCACTCCAGAAAATGCTGAAACTTGGTTTTGTGAAACACTGGCTTGAAGTTGCCCCATGGTGTAGACCATATCAAACATAATATGCTCAGAACCAACACTTATCAGAGCAAACACCAACTGATACTGTGGCAGGATCCATACTCACAGGTGTTGCTAATCAGATGCTAATCACCTGATTGTCGTCAACAACAGAATAAGCTGTTTAGCAATGACAGAGAAGATTTGTCAAGTTTTTAATGGACAAAACCCACAAATTCATTGTACTTACAAATGTGGCACCATTTAAGGAAATAAACAGGTTTTCCAACAGATTGCTAAGAAGCATTGTTACAACAGAGAAATCATTAACCAAACACACATCTCCTTCCTTTGTTGATAAGTTTATTTGTTCTGATCATCATTAGCTGTCTGATTCTGATGTTTGGGATAACACTGGAGTCTTTCGCCATTATGATAATTTTCTTCTGTTTGCTACTAATGCAAAGAGACAGACAAGATAAGGCCTGGGAAACTCAATGCAAAATCTGAATCAAAACTGTGATGCTTCTGACCTTATGTGTTGTAAATACATTTACACAAATATCTAGAATGATCTCTTTAAAGGGGGGCAATTGTGCTCATCTCCACTGACATATTTTTATTCCCAGACTCTACTAGAGTAGCTTTGCATGATTCACAGTTCAAAATAATCCTTGTTTATTTTAACTGGACCACGATGCAGTCCTCTCACTGTCTGCTAAAAGTTCCTTTGAGGACAACTGCTTTTTTCTGATAGTTGCCTCTTGCCAACAAAAATCTTGAAAAGCAGCTGCTCATGACAAGAACTGCGCACCCGAGATGACCACAGTAAGGATATCTACTCTTACTGACCAGAGTAGAAAAAAAAATCCCCTCCATCACCAAACTCTGTCTCACAGTCTGCTCTGCTTTAAAACAAGTGGCTAGGTTTGAGTGAAAGCTAATCACGAATAAAAGTTTCAACACCAATTACATTTTAACCCTTAGCTGCTCCCACGTTGGTCTCTGTTCTGTTCGCGGACGTGGGAAAAGTCTTCCCTCCCTCTTGTAATGTACGCTAGAGGCCATTGGAGGTCAGCAGAGTCTCGACGAAATCATTCGAAGGGCTCTACGCCGAGGCTGAGCGTTTTAACTTTACAATGTTCACACCACTGAGTTACATTTAAACCCAGGAACCTTTTCGGCTCTGGTTATTTAATGACATTTCCGCCTCTGAAAACCTACGCCTACTCAGTCATTAAAGTAAAAACGGAAAAAGAAAGAAATCATCAAATGATATTTATCCTGAAAGTTAGTTTTCCCTACATTTGGTATATTTTTTGTAAAATATGAATAATCTTTAAAGATTTCTTTAAAAAATGTCGCAACTTTACGATCACTTCGTTTGTGTCTTCAGCGTATCTGCGCTTAAACTCTAATCTAACGTCATCGTCCTTGGAAGCTTTCACGCTGTCAGACTTACCGATAAGGCTGTTAGTCCCTTCCAGTGTTTCTCAAATTTGACAAGGCCTACGCTTAATTTTTCAAACTTGCCAGTGAAAAAACACAGGCTAATAAGAGGAAACAGTGAAATGTCTCATATAATTTCATCCACAAAATTAGATAGGGGAGACCGGGGATAGTTGTAACGTCGGTCAGTTGTAACACTTTCAATTTCTCCAGTCAGGGCTAAGTTTCAAATGATGTGATTCATCCTGTACATGCCCAATTCAGTTCTTCTATCACATGTGAAAAATTAGCACATTTTGGCAAACACGGACAATTTAAGAAGAAAAAAAGTAATTTATATGCCAAAAAGCAAGTTTATTTCAATTTCTAATAGCATTGTCTGCTTTGCAGTTAAACTCATCAAACTTAAATTATGTTATTTGTATGTCTATGGGGATATATTCTGTGTAGGTCTAGGTCTTTAGTGCTAATGTTTTAGCCGTTGGCTGTAATGTTAGCTAGTTCATGGCTATAGGAGTCTGGGTCAGTTGTAACAGCAACAGTCTGGGTTAGTTGTAACAATAATGCAAGTGTTACAACTTACCGCACTATTACTTTAACTTATATTAAACAAGTTGGGGCAATGACATCAGCAGAGAGAGGTTCACTGGTCACCTTTGTATATGCGGTTAATGCCATTGGCAACACAATTCCTCCGATGTTTGTGTTCCCACGCATACGTTATGCAGAACACTTTGTCAGAGATGGGCCAGTAGGAAGTATTGGTAGTGGAAATAAATCAGGATGGGTGCAAGAAACAGACTTCTTCATCTCTCTGAAGCACTTTGCAAACCACACCAAGGTAAGCCATGAAAAAAGTAATTCAGCTTCATCGTTATGTTCAAAGGTTGGTGCAAGAGTTGTAGGTTACAATGCCCACTGAGCCAATGAGGCCAAACTCAAGAAAGACCAACCACAATTAATGAAATTTTCAGTTGTTGAAAATTCCATAATTTGTCTTTTTTTTAGGGGTTGGAATATGTTTAAACGCTAGATTTCTGCATTCTGTCACACACACATAGCTACATAACTAGATCTAAGTGCATTCAGGTGTTGAATAAAAAAGATTACATTTTAAGATTTTGTCAGTACCCTTATTTCATTGTGTTACATTTCACCCCAGGATATGTTACAACTAACCCAGACTATGGGGTTAATTGTAATATTTCACTCTCTGTGTTTGAGACCATACCATGCAATGAGTAATTGTGCTGCAGAGAAAATAGCTGCACTATTTAATAGCAGAGACGTGTAAATACTTTGCGTTACATTTTGAATCCACTACCTTAAAAGAGCTCCAAGCTACAGACAGAAATGTCAAAAATGTTACAACTCGAGTTTTTGCCATTCACAGTAAAAGAAATCAGATTTCTCACGTGCACGCATTTTACTCACTGATAAATCAAAAAACATTAGAAACTTTCCCACACTGTTATTTCCCCCTTTCACTCTGTCCTCTAGCATGCACGCTTTATAGTACGTCTGTGACATAAAATTGTTTGGGAAGCCCTGCACTGAGCCACCATGTGGGCGTGTTTCTTTTCGGCCCAACAGTCTCCGCTCTTGTGTGGAGTCCAGAGCGAAAAACGCACTTCTTCTGGTGCGGCCGGAGAGCGCAAAAGTTAGCTGCTCTCAGACCCTGAAGCGCACACCATCTCTGGCTCACGCAGCTCCTCGAATTTAACTTCACTGCGCGGGGGAGGGAAAAAATTGAGTTTATTAACATCTCCCGGTGAATGTTCCAGCCATGGACGCATTTCGAGTCATTACGATATATCTGGGCCTCCTCCTTGTTTTCCTTGGGAATATACCGTGTTTCCAGTCTGCTGCTATCATCTCTCCCTCTGCGCCGAGGAGGAACAGGGGTGCCAGGATCCATCACCAGGATGGACAAAGCTCTTCCAAATTCCTAAAAGACATCTTCGCGTCCTCTCATCCTGTCGCGGGACACCACAAAGAAGATCTAAAGGACGCTATTGTTCCGCATGAGTACATGCTCTCCATATACAGGACATACTCTGCTGCAGAGAAACTCGGACTAAACGCCAGCTTTTTCCGCTCTTCTAAATCTGCCAACACCATAACAAGTTTTGTGGACAGAGGAACAGGTTGGTTTCTTTCAGCTGCTGTCTCCATCAGCTCAGTCTTGCATAATTTTGTGGCACA